CAATAGAGTTGGAAACTTTAAACTCCTCTCATATCATCGTCCAATCAATTTGTCGATACACAGTTCAAGAGATGTCTTTGTGTTACAATCATAAAAGAACCCTTTTCCTTACTAAGATATATAATTAAGAAATATAATTAAGTACCTGCTCCATTAATTCGCGTACATCCCTGCCATCTTTGCTGCTTTTTGCTGCACCTAATTCAACTCCAGATACCCTTTCAGCAAACTTCAAGGTGCTTATGCTTTCAGTATACGAAGTAGTATCAGGATTAAGTTGCACAAACATAAGTGTTTTTGCTTGACCACCTGTGCCACATTCAAAATGGAAAAAAAATTAATAAAAATTTTAAGGGTAAATAATTTTTTCCAACCTGTACTATACGTGTTTTTGGAATTTTTAACCTAAAGTATTTTTTCTTTTTTTTTGTAAAATGCAACCTGAACTACATATATACAATTATTTGCACGCTGGACTACTTTTTGACCGTCCGATCATCCGCAAAAAAGGACACGTGTATGGTCAAGATGTGGTCGAGCGTGCAAATAGTGATTGTATATGTAGTTCAGGTTGCATTTTACAACAAAAAATACTTTAGGTTGAAAATCCAAAAGCACGTATAATAAATTAGAATATTTAGGAAAAATTACCTAATGAGGCCTGGAGTAGTTGAGTGAGCTTGCTGTTTCTATAGGGAACATGAGGACTCTTCTGTGCCAAAGCAAAGATGACATCACCCAATGCTGACAAGGATTTATTTATGTGCTGTGCCTCTTTAAGTCTATCTCCCGTCACCTCTGACCGGTCAACCCTTTCACTTCCCGCAAGATCTACTAAGTGAAGGCTGCCTTTCACTGACGATCCACTCTTCTCATCAACTCCATTGGCATGAATCGAGACTACACTGTGTGATCGGCTACTTCTCTCGTTCATTGCAGTCGAGCCTTTTGCTCTGTTCTTTAGTCCCACACTCATTAGTTTCAAGACTTCTGAGGTTGACTTTACGCTTTGAATGCTTGCGTCTGGGACTGCTAACCCACTCGATTGCATGGAAATCCCGAGCGTTTATGCAAATCAAGGAAAAATAAAAATATTGGGTAGAAAAAATATTATCACAACTTATTCGTCGTCTTTCGGTAAAACATTGGTCCCAGCCTTTTTACTGTACGTGCTTTTGAGATTTTCAACCTAATTGTAGTATTTTTTGTTGTAAATTGCAACCTAAACTCTTCATGAATTTTCATAATTTGCACGCTCGCCTGCATCTTGACCATACACGTGTCCTTTTTTTGGGGATGATCGTATGGTCAAGAAGTAGGCAAGCGTGAAGATTCTGAATGGCCATGAATGTTGCAATTTACGACAAAAAATAGTATAGATTGAAAATTCCAAAAGCATGTATAGTGCAGGTTTGGAAAAAAATTATATATCCTTCTTCTTTTGCTACTAACAAACAAAGGAAAGGATATCTCTTTTGTGAAGCGTCGTTTGACAGCAAATCACGGACTTGTTCGTTATATATTTCCACCATCTGGACCGAAACTTCGTAGGAGAAGTTGCTCTCCCTACTTTGAGAAATGCCGAAAAGCTTGTTTAGAGCTCGATAATTCACCCCCCATTCCTTTTCGCTTGCTGAATCAGGGCCACTCTGGTGATAATTTATTTCATCAAAACGAAAAAAAAAAATAGCAGAAGCATTTATTTGAAATAATATCATATTCATACCATGGTATAAGTTTTCCCTGAACCCGTCTGCCCATACGCAAATATACATACGTTATATCCGTCTAAAACAGATTGTATTAGCGGCTCAATATCTGAAAACACTTCCTCTGCACGCATTTGAATGTCATGTTAACAAAGAATCGTGAGCAATCATATGTAACAGGGAAATTAGTGATAGCATATACATGAAGATAAGAAACCTTGTGTTGATGTGGGGCCATAAACTTTATCGAACTTAAACGAACGACGTGCCTCTTTCCCTTGTTTGGATGGATTCACAACTATAAGTTCTCCATTCTCACCAATGTACTCAATAATTGATTGTTTTCCTTTCTGCCCGGGAAGAAATGGCCTTATCCGGCAATACACCCTAATATTTCCTATTCAAATTAAGACATGAGGAATTTGTAGCAAATTTTGAGCTATTTTTTTTTTTTTTTCAATCTGTGAAGGATTTTTGTAAACATAATGTTGAACCTTTTAGCTCTTGTAGTTCGTTGTGCAACTTTTGATTTTCGGAGAGGAGTGAATAATAGTTTTTTACAGCTTTGTCCATAGTCTTCATTCTTGACCCTGATACAACCAACGGTGTGACAAATTTTTGGTTACCATATATTTTCATATGAAGAAAAAAAAAAAAAATTACATAAAGTGAAAGTCTGCTTAGTACTCTACCATAAGGCGGTCTTTCATGCAAATTCATACTTCTCAAGTACACATTCATGTCTTTGATGTCACATATCTTAATTTTCGAAATAACTAGTTACACTGTACGCAGTATTTCAAAACTGCGGTTTTTCAACGTAAAGAGTATGAAATTTCACTCATACTCCAAATTTAGATGGTCTTGTAGAAGGTCTTTAATTTTGGGAAAATCAAACAGTGTCTGGGAAAAGTATATTTACCTAAAACACCGAATTCTTCTGAGTAACTTTTCCGTGTTTTGACAATCTCTTGCTGGATCGACTGAGACGCAAATCTTAGTTCCTAAAATAAAAAATAAAAAATAAATAAATAAAACATCCACATATAAAAATATGGGGAAACAATATTTAACTGAGAGATGAAAGCATAAGCGTACGCGTAATGCGCCAAGCTGGAAGTCAGTGAAGATATGATAAATATGTTGCTTCTTTTGCCAATTTTCAGCTTTCGAATCCGATAATTTCTCATTCTCCTTCAGTCTATCTCTCAACTCTTTCTCTGAGCTTAAAGCCTCGTTCAAACTACTCTCAAGCTCCTTCACTCTACTTGTCAAATTTTTCTCTGAATTCAAGGTCTCATTCAATTTTTCCTCAAGCTCCTTTACTCTATTTCTCGACTCATTTTCTGACCTTGAAGTCTCCTTCAACCGATCCTCGAGCTCTTTCATTTTACTTCTGACCTCTTTATCTGAACTGTAAGTCTCATTTAACCTTCCCTCGAGCTCCTTCACTCTATTTCTCGATAATGTTTCCGAATTTAAAGTTTCTTTCAATCTCTCCTCAAGCTCCTTCACTCTATTTTTCGACTCTGTAAGCAAGAGTAAATCCTTTTCTTCAATCTTTTCTTGCATGGGCTCATCACATGGGCTCTTATTATTAGCTGTTTTGAGGTCTTGCCTCAATTTCGATACCTCTTGGTTGAGGTTATCTTTCTCTTTCATAAGCCTCGAAATCTCGTGCTCCTCGGCTTTCTTTTTCTCTTCTATTTTACTCTTCTCACTCTGCAGTAACATTATATACCATTATGCATTGATATGTTGGTTATTTCATATTCAGGTGCAAGTATTTCAAAGAATCAAGCTAATGCATTAAATTGTACCTTTATCTGCTGGAGCTGGTTCATAACAATCTGCAAAACCAAATTCGACTATTTAAGAAAATAGGAATATGAAATTTATTAAATGCGCATTTTTGTCGTAAGGCTGAATAAAGAGTACCTGTGTCTCGTCACTAGTCCCTGTTGCTAGGGCTTCAAGAACTTTAATTCTGGATTGGTACTTTTCTTCACGTGCTTTGAAAAGATTATTTTGCTGCAGGTAAAAAATGACAAAATTACAGATCACGAAGTTTGTGTCTAATACATCTTCATAGTTGACAAGTTCCCTTTATAATAATATTACCGTTCGCAAATGTTCTGCCTGAGTACATATTCGCCGCTCAATCTCCTGCACGACTTTTCTCAATAGGCAAGCAACACGCTGAGAGTATCAACCAAAGGAAATATTCTCAGATATCGACTTATTATGAGAAAGTGGGGTTATAAAATAAGATGTCTCGATTTTTTAGCCGTACATGAGGTATTTCTCCATTCTTCAGCTCAATGCTTTCGTCTAAAATACCGTTGACGACGCTCAAGAGAGATTGTGTTGGAGCATTCTGCATTATGTAAAACCTTTGAATTGAATTGATTTCATAATCAAACAGACTCTCAAGACTCTAGTTTGAGTTCTTTTATCCAAAAACAAAAAAATAGAAAGACTTACATCTAAGCTGTTTGATTTCATCATTTCCGAAATCTTTGCAGCGGGAATATCCGTATACGATCCCTGTTTAAGCTGAAAAACTTCGTGGAATTTCTGACCCACTTGATTCATAAGCGTACCCGATGCATCTAAACACAAAGCCCAATTCAAATTAATTAATTCCCACCTTTTAATTTACTCGGAAAAAAAAAAATGATTATAAGACTAGCATTCATAAATCTAGCTATGATACCAATTTAAAGAAAATAAAATTGCGTTCATATAACACAATTCCAATCACGGGGCATTAAACAAGTGAGTCGACTGGTTATAGAACACTACTATTTGTTTCTTTTTTTTTTTTTGGCTTTAGATGTGGAAAACAAGAAAAAAGAGACAGGTAAGGGCATGAAAATGAAGACCTGTCCTTAATGGACTACTTATAACATGCTGAGATTTCGAGCCCAATGATAACTTGCGCCTGTCTCTATCCTCACCAAATGGAGGAGAAGAAAGCATCCCATTCCCTATACGCTCTCCCGAGTGCCTCCACTTTGAACTGCTATCGAGATGCGCTTTTAGAGTTAAAAGGCAGTCCAACACAACTTTCATTGACCCCTACACAAATAAACAACAAGAGCTCAGTTCACACCGAATTTAACTCGAAAATAATTCCATTTCTACATAATTTTACTTCACCTTTTCCAAATCCGCCACCTGAAACCTCGGGAAACCCTTTTCATCCATTGCAGACAAAAACCTCTGCACATTTTCTGAGTGGTGTTGTGAAGGACGAGCAGAGCCTCCATTCTATGAACAATAGAATAATATTACCCTTTATCTTAATGACATGAAGAACTTTTTAATTCCAAAAAAAAAAAAAAAGAATGATAATGTGGTCAAAATAAAGGTACCTCAGCCACAGAACCTGGTTTTAGTTTGTTTAGTATTCGGCAAAGGATAGAACCGTCAATTAAGAATGCACGTAATTCTTCATCCGAAGCATTTATCGGCAGATTTATATCCGGAAGAATACAGTTTATCCATTCTACTAAAGCTGTCCTCTGCTTAGCTGAAAATGAAGTTAGTTTTAATAGCTCAGATTGATTGATTATTAAGTTCCAGCACAACTAATACGAGGAAAACAAATTATTCGCCTAATTCTTAGCTTACCATTGTTGATTGAAGCAGATTCGAAAACATCACTCTCTCTTGAAACTGATTGTCGGTCCATAGTGGAAATCGGGATAATACAAAACTTGGATACTGTAGAATATAGGCTTATTATCAAGTAACCAATAAATAGCTCACAAAAGTGCTATCATGTTTCAAGAAAGTGAACAAGAAAATATTTTGAGATAAATAATAAGGTAATTCCAACTTTTTTCTCATTATACTGTATCAGGCATATATATATATATATATAGCATCATATTGAACATACATGTGAAATTTGATTTAGCTGCAGCAAATGGATGATCCATATACAAAATCTGACATTCCTTTGATATCAAATGACAACAAATTAAGTAGCAAAATAAACAAGCAGAATTTTGGCAAAACCTGATGCTTAATCATTAGGGGCGATTCAAATTCTTATCCAATGGTCGATTTTTTTTCTTCAGTTTATCCCATTTGATTAACGAAAATAGCCTGCACGACACAAAAATGAATTCGAGNAAAAAAAAAAAATCCAAATAATTGGGAAAACAGAATCAACCTAACTCACACCATGCATACTACACTCAAAAATAAAAGCAAGGACTTTTCATGCAACACCAAATCAAATCAAGGACGAGCCCTGAAATAAAAAGGTGAAATTTCAACGTTGTAATTATCAAAAGAAAAGAACCTGAACTCCGTTTGAAGCAAACCTGAATTTTTGTTGTCCAGTGTTGAGGTATGTGTGTGTTGATGTTTATTGTTATACTAAATAAAGAGTATAAACATTTGGGTGGCTGCTCTTTCGTGTGCCGTTGGAGTTCTACCAAAGGTCCAAAACTTGTCATTTTGTACGCCAACTTAGGGAGAGTATAACTTGGGTGCCGTTTAATTTGATATACATCCACTTTATACTGTTTAAGTATTAAAAATAATGATGAAATTTATGTCAAAGAAATACGAGTATATAATTTTCTTAGAACTTGAGGGGGCGTAACTTTATATATTAATTATTACATTTAAAATATATGAATTATTAGAATTGATTTCATGTATGATTTGGTTCGATAGGTTACACACATGGTGACTTGGTGAGTTTCCAACTTTCGTATGTATAATAAATGATTAGTGGTTAGATAATTTTTTAGAAATTAATGGAAGTGGTACAATATTATTGCGAGACAAAAAGGTTAAAGTTTGTTTTTCTTTATAAGAGCTGGGAGGTATTAATTGAGCCATTTTTATAGAGTTTGTCCGTTAAGTAAGTAGTTCATGCTATGCATGAAACAAAAATATTAAATGAGTCTGCTTCTATAAGGTTTGTCCGTTAAAACCTAAAAAATAATAGAGTTGGATCATCTATTTTTCATCTCTTTTCATCAACGTCATTGTTTAGTCGGGACAATTAAACTTGAGTCTGTTAGAGTTAGCCCGTAAATTAATTAATATATTATCAGGCTAACACGTTTATAGTAATATAAATTTGTTTAGTGTATATATTTGGGGAAACTACAGCCCCGTTACAGTATGGTTCTGTTGGTGTTTCAAAACATAGATTCAACTATATATATCGGGTAGGGATTGGTTCAAATAAAAACTAGTTCTGGTATGAGAACCGTGAGAACTGTATTTGATGCTATTTTTAATTGTGTATGATGCTATTGTTAATAATACATGTTGCTATCATTTTAAAAAATGCTAATATAAATTATGTTGCTATTTTCAATAAAATACATCATGGTTAAAAATAACACTAAAACATAATCACACTACGTACACCTAAAAATAGCTATTCTCACGCTAAGACTTGGTTCTCATTTGAACAACATCAATATTGTGTAAATATTAGTTTACTCCGTATTAAAGAACGATCGTTTTTGGATGCAGAAAACCCTTATTGGGAGACTCATCCACCACTGTAAGGTGTGCGACTCGGGTCGACCAACGGATTAGTCGGGGCATAGCTCCAGATACCGTGGTTAGCTACCACAAAANAATAACAATCTTTTTTAAAAGTATGTCTATATCTAGGCATATATTTATTTTAATAGACCTGAATGCTACGCTAACGCGTCGTTTGGTTGGAGGGAAATGGAAGGGAGGGGAGGGGAGGGGACAGGAGGGGAAAGATTTTTTAGTTTTCCTTTGTTTGGTTTGTAAGTTAGGAGGGGAGGGGAGGAAAAATTTTAAACAATAATCCATCCCCTTCACCAATTTTGCTCCCCTCCCAAAAGTGGGAGAATTTGGAGGGGAGAGAAAATTTTAACACATAAAATTACTATATTATCTTTACTATGTGAAATATTTTATTATTTTGATCTTACATCATTAAAGATATAATTGTTATTTTTACAATATTTTCTTCCCCTCCATTATTCTAACCAAACAAGGTTTATCAATTTACCTCTACTCCCCTCTTACAAAATTCTTCCAAACAAGTTAAAATTCACTTTCTCTCCCCTTCACCTCCTTCCATTAACAAAAATCTCTCCCTTCTCCTCCCTCCATTTGAACCAAACATACCCTAAAGGTGTGTTTGTAAAAGGATAAATTCAATCAAATTAACTCAAAGTGAATTTTTTAGTTAATTATGGTTAATTTAGAAAAAGCAGCATAGTTAGTTGTTAGTGAAATTTTTAGAGTATATTAAAATAATATTTAAAATAAAATAATTAAAATTGATTTGATGTAAAAGTAGGAGAGAGATAATATGAAGTGATGATTAGTTAAAATTATGTGAGTAGATGAATAGTAAATTAAAGTGACGTGTAAAAATAATTAGTTGTTATTATTTAATAATTAATTGTATTATTTAATTATATTAATAATATTGAGGATAGTGAGATTGAATTAATGTTTGAGTTTTAAATTTTGAATAAGAATTAATTTGGTTTGAGTATATTCTTTTGGACACACCCTAATAGATTCTCTTGTTTGTTATTTTGGAAAATATGTTCTGAAAAATCGAGTGAGGACGAGAAGGTGTTCATTTTTTCGGTTTTTATTTTTTTAGGAATTCTTAAGTGCAGATTCCCGGTCAGCGAGAACCCTAACCGCACCAATTCTCTTCGCAGAAATGTTTAAGAAGTAAGTTCGGCATGCTTTCTCATTGAACTTGTACCAACCATTTGCTTTGAATTCTAGAATTTTAATTTTTCATATCTTATTCATTCATCACGATTTTTATTTGCTAATTGTGGGAGTAGAACATTTTTTACGCCGAGCAATTTGTTTTATTGCACTTGAATTGTGCCGTCTTAGATGTTCTTTTTTCTGCTTCAACCTCATGGCTGTTATCATGCATTTTGATTTGCGTGTGGGGTTAGTAACTAGGGTTTTGCTCAAGAATCACGAATACCTTTTCATTTCTTCCCTAATTTCTTTGATGGTGACTTATCTACCCACTGTATCGAGAGTTGTTTCTTTAGTTCGATCGACCCAGGTGCAGAACATATTGATTCGTATGAGTCTTAATTTCAGTATTGATAACTTCAGCCCTATATGGTCTGGATTTTTTTCCAGAACCCAAATGGTTTGAATTGGGTTCTTGTATAGTTTCTTTTAGTTGCATAAAGATGGATAGTTTTTATTTTTATTTTATTTTTTCAAGTGAACTTTTGTCAGTTGAGTTGATATCTGAACTGTATATATTGTGTTCTCTTCGTTGTCGCTCATGTCATATATATGGCTGTTATGAGTCTTTGCTTGTTAGTTATGATGAGATGGTTGATAATTGTTTGTTAAAATACAACTTGATCAAATTATGTATTTACCAATAAAACAAAGAAAATTCTAAAGTATTCAAGCTATGAAACTATATAGCAACACAAAATTTCAAATCAATATGGTAAGTTGTTTTAATGATTTGACGTTTGTGCTGGCACTTAAAAAAATCTAGCTCAAGTTATGATAAGTCAAAGTCATGCCATGCATATGGATGTGTACTAAAGGATTAATTTGAAAACATTAGAAACGTTGAGTATTAGTATTTTGTACTATTTCACTCTAGCCTCTTGATGGGCATGGTTCTGTTTTGAGAAGTTTATTAATTAACTCCTAGAATCTTTTGGTGAGGTTCTTTTGTGGTCGTAAAACTAGAGCTTTCCTTTTGCGAGTCATTAATGTTACTATGGTAGTCAATTCCACACAATGATGTATTATTTTTTGTGTTACAAGTATTATTTCAGTGGCATACTTTATATCCAATTTGGTGTAACTCAAGTAGGGAGATACAATGAGGCTCTTGAGTTTACATTTCTTCCCCAACCCTTGAGATTGACTTGTTGATTATCATTATCCATCATCCGTTTTGCCTCCAAAAATTACACATCTAGTTTGACTTCCTTTTTTTGTTTGCATGTGCATGTACCACACAAAGTACTTGATGTTAGCAATGTTTTCTATGCATTTTGTACGTGCATTAGATGTGGTTAAAGCTAATCATAGTTGGAGTAGAAGTCTAATTGAGTTAATATTCACAATGTCCGATTATTATTTTTCTTATGCTTCTGCTTCTGAAGATGGTAGTACAATAAACCAGTGTTATCAAATGGTGGCCAAGGCGGTACGGCGTGGCGGATTTTTGACAGTATCCATGCTAAATTTGTGAAGGATGGCGGTTATGGTGGCGCCATAGGCCGCTATGGCGGATTTTGGGCAAACCACCATTTACCGCCGCCATTAATAACACTGCTATAAACCACGCGCTGTCCATCTCTGTTATTTTCAGTTTGAAATAGTGGATGGAATCGACAATTGACAAAATCTTTGACATGACACAGAAGGCTGCGATCTGTGAAACTATAATACTTTAACCTAATATATCCAAGCTTTGCGGTTATTTCGCAGGGCCCACGAGGGTTGGAGTGGGCTCTTTTTGGACATTGATACATAAATATACATTTTATTCTCCATTGAGTGTATATATCGTAACTTTGGCTAGTTAGTAATAGCTAAATTGCATGGCAGATGAGTGGTTATTGTGAGTGTAAGCATGTATAATATATTGTTTCTTGTGATTACCAGCCTCAAAAGTTTTTGATATTCTGGTAACACTTATCCGTAAAGCGTAAGCATTCTGATCCCCCGTATATCTGTTACTTTTAGGTTCTCATCCGAAGAGGTTTCTGCTCAAAATCAAGTGAAGGCATCTGTGCAGCGAAAAATACGACAAAGTATTGCAGAGGAGGTTTTAAATACTGCCTTTTTAAGTTGCTTTTGCTTCTAATAAAGTGTACTTTTGATTCTTATTTTGATATTATTCTTTTCTCGGATATATGTTGTAATTTTTACTTTAAGTACTGTTGTTTCTTGTGCAGTACCCGGGACTTGAACCTGTGTTGGATGACTTGCTGCCAAAAAAATCACCGCTAGTTGTTGCAAAATGGTTTTTCTTTAACTGAAAGCTCATATCATACCTGACATGTTCATAAGTATATCTTTGTACTTTGATTCTGACATGGTAAATCCTCTCATCTGACCTTTTGAAGTCCAAATCATCTTAACTTGGTTCTGGTAAACAATGTGCCACTGTTCTTCAACGTGCGGGATGGACCATACATGCCTACATTACGCCTTCTTCATCAGTGTAAGAACTTTACTTTGAGATTACCTCTCAAACATGCTGTTTCTACTTTGTTATGTATTTGCTGTTTTTATACCTATAAAAGCGTACTTGAAGATAATCCTTGCATCTGTGGATAATATGAGGGGTTAGGTACTAAAATTATGTAGTGACATATTGATTCTCGGGAATGATGGATTATAGTAAGCATGTAGTTCCTAATTCCTACATGGTTAATGGTATCAAATGGATAGATAAAGGATTAATGGCTGAGTATTAGAATCCATGAATACTGTTTGTAATATAAGTATCATAAGTATAGCAGAAGGCCTGACAGGTCTAAAAAGTTTATACAATGTACTTAAACTTTATTTTAGCACTGAAATTACTTTTGTGAGTTCTACTGTTTCCTATGTGCTCTTGATTAAGCAAAATATTTGACGTCTGAACTGGAATTACTGGAAAATGACTTTAAATTTGAGTATTAAATGACTAATCACTAACTCAATGCCTCTTCTCATTGAACCGGTGCTTCCCTAGTTACTGAGAAATGACTTTAAATTTGATTAAATTAATGACTAATCACCAACTCATTGCTAATTATCATTGAGCATTTTCTAGGTTACCCGTAATTCCCTAGTTACGTTAAAGAGTTTCTTCTGCAATATCTTTTCTGATACGTTTCTATATTCAAATTTCCATAATCAGGGGTGGAATAGGTGATTTGCCGGGATTTTGCTTGGGAACCCTATTTGTTTTATTTAAGTAGTACTGTAGTAGGGTTCAGGTCTCTTAAGTCATGGAGAAAGAATATAAAGGAGCCTTTGGCTAGGCAGGATAAATCCTGATCAGCATTCGCGCTTGGGGCAGGCGAGCCTGCTATTGTTTTGGTTTCTTTCCGTTTCTTTCGTTTCAGTTAATTATCATTTTTAGTTTTGATTTTCTTTTTATAACCCGCCCTTCACTCTTATCAATTGGTCCGGCCTGCTGCACCTAGTATGTGAACAAGGACAGACGCCCGTTTGGAAACAATGGAGAAGGACCTTGTATAGGTACGTACACAGTCTTCTTCTACCAAAACTATGTTCCCTGCCTTAATGAAAGAGAAAACATCTTATTCTAGGCATCCACGGAGACCGACACTTCCCAAACCACATTTGAGACCACCACGGTATTCGTGCCACCAAAAATTAATCTACTCTCATTCAATGATTCTTACCCTACTGCTTGGACAACCCAGGCTGAGAATTTATTTTTGGTTAACCACACTCCTGTGTTGGAAAAGGTTCTGCTAGCGCTCCATTTCCGAGGATATATTGTATTGGATTCAGGATTTAATGCGCCGCTTTCCAACCATCACCTGGCCTATGTCCACGGTATGTCCACGGAGGAATTACTGTTGCACTTTAGTACTCTTAATGACTGTCGATGCCTGCCTATGAGGCGCTGAAGGTCACACGGAAAAATCCATGGATGACTATATTGTTGAATCGGAAGCTCGTGTGGCTCAGGAGCCGGATCTGTCGGACCCTCATTATTTAGGCCAGTTTGGACGCTTTACACTAGGATATCCACATCCGCATACACGTTGATCCATCCCTGCATACAGTGTATGCAGCAATTCAATTGGCCTCCGTGTGAACGCGAATTGAATTTCTAGAACCCTCCACCAGATAAGGGACAACCACGTTCCTCCTATTTTTCGTCCCCGCTGACCATCCTTAGCCGACCACTCAGAGCACCACTATTCTCAACACAGGTGCAGCAGGTTTCACAATCATGCTGGCTCCTACGGCGATTTCCTGCTCCATAACGTCTTTGAGGCTAGATTAGACTAACCGTAGCACCCATAACATATCTCAAGCGGACTACTTGGTCCTCAGGACAAAGGGACTCTGTTTCAAATGTTATGAGCTTTACCATCCGATGCACATTTGTAGCATGGTTTTTTGGCAAGCCTTAGGGGCAAGGTGGAAGAGTAGTGATACATATCCATTTTCAAATTTTATATTTTAGTTAAGTTATTTAATTTAATTAGGGCTATAATAAGGTGATGGTCCGAACGTTTTCTTAGGAACCCTAATTTGTTTTATTTAAGTAGTAGGGTTTGTGTCCCTTAAGCCATGGAGAAAAATAATAGAGGAGCCATTGGCTTAGGTAGGAGAAATCCTGATTGGCGTTTGTTCTTGGGGCATTCTCGACTGCAATTTTTTTTGTTTCTTCTCGTTGCTTTCATTTTCAGTTAATTATCAATTTCAACTTGGGTTTCTTCTTGCAATCCGCACTCCATCCTATCAATTTCCTTCTCTGTTCTTTTCAATTTCAGTTAATTATCAATTTTTTTTGTTTCTTCATGCATGCTACTCTATATATATTTCCACCGTATATTTAAATAGCATTTGTACTTTTAAATTCATGGTCTATTAAAAATTGCTAATTTTACTTTCTACAAAAATGATTTAATTGATTGTGCAAGATTAAACATAATTTTATTTGTATTTAGATACCTTTATTTGGATTTGGATCCTTAACAGGTACATAGATCGCCGTCTCTTGGGCAAGATTGACCCACGAGCATCACATCTTATACAGGCTGTGCGTTGTCGTTAAGTCGTTGTGTTTGTGTGGCAGTTGTGGCTTTTGGTAATAGGTATTAGCATGTCTTAGGTCTGCACTGGTAATTTCTGATAGGAAAGGCATGGCTATGGGTGTGTTACAATATCCACAACCATTTATTTAATTTAATTCAATAAATGGGCTTTTGGGCCCATTTGTTTAGAATATCCATTAGAGGTTATATTTCTTGCTAGGGCGTTATTTAAGTAGACTATATCGGTTGATACCTGGGATTATCTGTTTCAAACTGAGATTGTCGGCCTTATTCTCTCGTTTGTTTCTTTTTCATTTAATTAAATATATTTTAGTTTTATTCTTTCGTAAACCCTTCACTCTGTCAATTGGTCCGACTTGCCGTATCAATTAATCAAATGGAGTCACTGGTGTTGAGGACTTGCGTGTAGTGATGAACAAATTTCTGTTGAATCTTTCAATATTATTTTTGAGTGCAAAGGGCTTACCTACTGCTCATAATGAGGATTTATTATCCCCAGTTCACTATTCCCGGTTCACATGATTCGCTCCGATTCTGCTCACCGAAAATTTGGAACTTTCCAGTGATTGCGAATTGACTTTCTCCATTGGGGCTTGGGCGAATTCACATGCATTCGGTTTTGTAATAGACTCTGCTTAACTACTAAATACAACTGAGTGCGTGTTGGGGTTTATACAAGGATAGACTCTACTTAACTGCTAAATCTCCTAGTTTATAATAGAGACTGAACGTCATCTCTTTATATTAGCTCTTATTCCTTGACCTCTATATTTGGCATGGTTTATCTTAAATGGATATCCTTGCATGATTTGTCTATTTATTTGGCAGATCCAAATATAATGAAAATGCTGCAAGTTGACAGAGGGGCTATAAAATTCGTACTTTCTGGTGCCAATATCATGTGTCCAGGCCTTACGTCTCCTGGTGGTGCATTGGATGATGAAGTAGAAGCAGAAACTCCTGTTGTATGAATCTTGACTCTTAGCTTACTATCTCCTATGATGGGAAATGTTCTGTTTATGGGATTAACCTGTATGTTATGAATTCTTAAGTTGTTTAATAATTGAGGGCTGGATATTATTCTCTTAATAAAAAACTAGCAATTTGACTCTTTGTTTATTTGTCAAACATTGTTGTCTTAAGTGTTTCTTTTGACCATCAGGCTATAATGGCTGAAGGAAAGCAACATGCTCTAGCAATTGGATTCACGAAAATGTCAGCAAAAGATATGTAAGTGAACTCTTGATATGTATGTTAGTGCATGATGTGAAAATAAGTTGTTGTCTACTGTCCTTGCCCCAAATCACCTTTTAGTCTTTAGGAAGTCATTTGAACTCATGTTATTGATGGATGCAATTTTTTGGGTTACTTTGGATAAATTGGAAATTAGCTCTAAAGCTATATAAACCATGTGCTAGTTTAAGACCTACACTCCTTGACCATGTTCTACTTTTGTTCCCCTTCTGGATTTTTTTCCCCTTATTTTAATGTTGACTGGTTTGGTGAAAGGAAATTTCATTTGATTTGACAAATAGATTTTGTATTCAATTTGGTAATTAGCTACTCTTTCCCATTTCCTGCGTCGTTGGCTTTGCACGTCTGTTTAGTAATCCCAGCTCTGCTAATGAAAACTCTGAAAATAGAGTTAAACTGGGTCAAGTTCTAACTGACTAAAATCTCACCTAGTCGTCATCAAAATAATTTATATAGTATTTAGCATAATCTGTGTAGTATTTGGCGGAACAATACCTAAATCTACCTTAAGAACCAGTTGGCATTTTTTCCCTGCTCATTTTTTGGTATTTGGCAGATCCAAATTTCTTTTGCTTTTGGGAACATTTTTTCTGCAAATTTCGGTTGCCATGTACTGTTGACATAATTTATCCAATGTTCTGCGGTACTTGCTAGTGGTACTGCTAGTTGTTACGGTTGTGTAACAACCACTGCTTTTCCTTTGTTTTCTAAGGTCTGCTGCAATTTCTTTAATTTTGCTTCCATACCTGTCTTTCAGGTTGGAGTGTTATTAAATTAAAGGGTTTAATGCACCAAACCCCCCTGTATTATACAAAATCTGCGCGTTTCCCCCCTGTATTTTAAAAATTGCGTCAGACCCCCTTCTATTAAGGTTTTGTATGCGCGAAACACCCAAAATCGTCTCACGTTTCCCCCCTGTATTTTAAAAATTGCGTCAGACCCCCTTCTATTAAGGTTTTGTATGCGCGAAACACCCAAAATTTAGACGATTTTGGGTGTTTCGCGCATACAAAACCTTAATAAATTTTGGGTGTTTCGCGCATACAAAACCTTAATAGAAGGGGGTCTGACGCAATTTTTAAAATACAGGGGGGAAACGCGCAGATTTCGTATAATACAAGGGGGTCTTCTATATTTTACCCTTAAATTAAATAAACAAAAATTATTCAAAATATTGATATATAGATTTTCTGGTATTTTATGGCATTGCTAGAATCGATGATAGAGGAGGCAGGTTTATCTGGTTTCTTGCAGATACTGCTGGAATAAATAAATCTAGAAGCAAGAAGTACATAAAATGTGAATAAACTATAGAATAAATAAATAACTTGTTACGTATTTACCTTTTGTGGATTTATAATCATATAATTTTGTTATGATTGATTTTCTATTGTATTATTGAATTCTATATTTTCATAGTTAATTATATGTTATCAATTATAATATATCTACCTCTAGGAGTCTAGGGTGAGAAATATTGTTCTCAAACTCATGAGAATGCATAATACCAAATTGTGCGGAAACAATGGCAAATCCCATGTTTATGACTTATCTGGTAATGTTAATCCCCAATTCTAGAACATATCCATAATTCAAGATCGGCCAAACCCGTTTTCACTTCTTTATAAGTGGACTCACCCCATCAGCCACTAATTCCGTCTTTCTAGAGCAAGCTTGTTGCTTGGAAATTTATATAGCAAATTGCAACTACTTTAAAAGATTATTATAACTTCAAAAGATGAATAGTATTTTGCTATTAAGTTGAACCCTCGTGTTAGATTGACGGTTAATACCTCATACATATTCCATTTCAATAAAATATTTTATTTTTTATTTTTTGTATTTCTGAAAGGTTTAGTTTGTGTCACCTTTTTATTATTTAAATGCAGACGAACACTGAACAAAGGAATTGGTGTGGACAACATGCACTATCTTAACGATGGCCTCTGGAAGGTACTGGTATTTTGATTTCCCTTTGTTTATGTTTACTTTCGTTATAAATATATGTTGCTGTTCACGCATTCTTAGAAAACCCATGTTAGTAAAATCTGGCGTCTTGTGTTATGTCATATGCGACCAACCTATATCACAACTGCATCTCCCAGGATAATAACATTATCATTTATGTTTTAAATTCTGCATTCTAAACTTTTTACTCCACCTTGCTGGTTAATTCACTTGTATGTTACAACAACTGTTTTTAATATTTGATGTAGGATTAGGATGTTTGAAGCTAATGCAAGAGACTAAGTTCTAATTCCAAGGATGCTTATACTGTTGCACTTTATCAATCTCCTCAGGATAACTTTTCTTTTTCTCCTTATTTTGCAGATGGAGCGCCTCGGATAACTGATAATGAATGATCTAAACTGAATGGTGCGTCAGCGTACATTGGGATAACTGAGAAAAAGATATAAGTTTGATTGCAGACTGTTGCTTTCATATGTTTGTTTACATTCACTTTGTTCTGTAGCTTTACTAACAAATAACGATCATTGCTGAAGTATCCGTCCCTGTTATTTGAATTTCAAGATACCTATTTTGATGCCCTTTGGAGCAAGCCAAACTTTTTGTGCTCTGCATATCATATAATATTTAACAATTTACTTTTTAGTCGATATGGCAATTGGCATATCATATTATTTGACCATTGATTTGACATTTAACTTTACATTGGCGGCTTACAAAAGATCTAGAAGTCGCTGAATAGATTCTTTTACAATTGTCGAATTTTCACCTGTGCCTTTGGGAATAATTGTAATTTTATGGTAGGGTAAACTTTATTTGCATCTTTATAAATTTTATTTTATGTCAATTAATTGCAAAGATGCACCAAATTATGGGATTTTTAGTTACCAAATAAAATGTAGCCGCCTCCTCTTTAAATTGTGTAAGTTATGGGAATTCTCAATTAAACAAAAAAAATGATTATATATTGTAAGGTTGTATATCTTACAAAATAAGATGTTTCCCTAAAAGAATTTGAATTTCAAATTACATCATCTTTCAAATATATATGTGACGGAACATGAAGCTTTTGTCACATCATCTTACCATGTACTATATGTTGCGTTTTGTAAAAAGTGTAGCTACAACGTATATGTTGTGTTTATAGTCAATAAAGTTTTTCAGCTCTTAGGTGTTTTGAATGGACAATATATATTGCGTTTATAGTCAGTATATATTCAGTATATACACATTTTTATCTAACCACAATTGTGATGCTTGAAATTCAGTTCAGTATATAACCTGATGCGTTTTTTATTTACATAACATTTTTATCTAACCACAATAGTGAGTTGAAGTTTGGTTCAGTATATTGCGTTTATAGTCAACATATATTCAATATATGTTGTGTATTTTTATTTACATAGCATTTTTATCTAATCACAAATGTGATTTTTAAATTTTTATTCAGTATATAACATATCATATACATATCATAAACTGATCAAAATCATTATTCTAATAAACCATTTTACTATTTTTCAAGTTTTTTTTTCTCATTAGGTTTTCTTAACAAGGTTTTAATGAAGCATTTTATACCACCAGGCTTGTTGAAGTTTTTTTTATTTTTTTTATTTTATTTTTTTTCTTCCATCCCTCAACCCCGTGAAGAAAAAACTTGTAGTGACTTGTATATATTGTTTTATTCATGGGCTTGCATTTTCAATTTTTTTTTCTCCTTCTATTCCCCCACCCCGTCAAATCACGAGCTTGGTTAACTGTGGACCAACAGCACATATAAGAAAGCCGAGTGTGCACATTCACATAAATACAATAAAGTCCATCTCATAGTAATATGAAATGTGGACATTATTTTTGAGAAGAGACAGATCTAAACAACAGAATTCCTACACCAGCAACAGCCAACGAGAGAAGCAAGGGAACTGTCACGTCTGATAATCCACTCCTCCGATTCATTCCATCTTCACGAGACCTTTCCCCATAGCACTCATGAAGGAGACTGCTCAGATTATCAATCTGATGCAAGATTTGACGTTGTGCACGAGCAATAAATAACACCTATTTCCAATTGACAGAATTGATTATTAATGGAAATGAACTTTTATCAGTTGCCCACTAAATTATGAAACTTCACCACGAAAAACATGCAATATTACTAGAATTACCTCTTCCATGACAGGAGACTCTCTCGCCAACTGCGAAGATGATGAGGAATTCGGTAGAAGAGAAATGCAGGCTTCATTTTGTACACCTCCCAAATTTTGTTGGGAGAAATTCTTTGTTAGAAACTTCGAGTTTAGGTCTTCGATTCGTGATGTGAACTCGTCCATTCGCTCATTGAGTGTGGATATTTGTTCAGATAACTGGGTAACCATACCCTGTAACAATTATGGAAAATCTCGACTGAAAATGGTCAACATATAACATACTGCTATATGAGCTACAAATTTAATGTCAAACATCAACCACCACCATCAATAAAGCAAAAATACTGAGCCATACAAACATTTAAGCAAATATGTATGAGAAATCAGAAGGCAAAGGTACATTAAATGCATATGAGGTATTAGAAGTATTTACTGATGCAGATTGGGCAGGTTCGGTGATCAACTGAAGATCTACTTCAGGTTATTGCACCTTTATGTGGGGAAATTTTGTTACAGGACAGTGCAAAAAGCAAAGTGTTGTTTCCAGAAGTAGTGCACAGGCTGAGTTCAGAGCTATGGCTCAAGGGATATGTGAGTTATTGTGGATTTTTAGAATCCTCAAAGAGCTTGAGAAGACTAACTCCCTAAGAGATTGTACTCCGATAATAAGGCTGCAATTAGTATTTCTCATAAGCCTGTCCAACAAGATTGAACAATGGTCACTGAGATTGACCGGCAGTTCAGAAAGGAGAAATTTGAAGCTGAAATCATTTGTCTGCCCTTTGTTCCTTCTAGTCAGCAGAACGCAGACTTCTTTACAAAGGGCTTATCAAGATCAAACCTTCAACATTTGATAAACGAGTTTGGCATGATTGATATCTATGCACCCACTTTAGGGGGAGTGATTGAGAGTTGGTATATTAGATAGAATCAAGATTATGATTGTCAAAAAATTAGAATCAGGATTATGATTTGATTTATCTAGATTTCTAGGATTCTTCATATTTTTAGGTTATTTCTTTCTTGATGTATTTTCCTTTATCCTCTATTTCAGTTGTGAAGGAGTCGGACTACTGTTCTCTTCTATTTAAAGAAGACCTGATGTAAACCAAAGTGTGTTCTAGAAAACATCAAGGCGCCCTTGATGTTTCCTTATGAAATTATATTTTGTGATAACAAGGCAGCAGTTCATAACCCAGATCATGACAGGACAAAGTTGATACAAACTTATAGAGAAAATTATTGTCGAAAGAACAATTCTCCATTAGCACCAAACATGCAGCATCTGCAGATGTTTTGACTAAAAGCTTGTAGAGACTGCCATTTGAGCTTCAAGGCAGCCAGACATGGTGGATACCTTATCCTCAGGGGCATCAATAAATTGTGAATCGAAGAGTTTAATGTTTAAAACAATTGGGGATGCCAGTGAATTATAGAACTAAGATTTGGTTGTTAAAATATTTGAGAATTAGGAGAAAGAAATACTCATTCCTGATTACAAGAATCTTGAGGATCATCTGTTTTTTATTTTTATTTGTCATTTTGTTTTTTGACTTGTGTGCTCAAAGTCATTTTAAAATCATAATAAATAGGAAAAACCATCATGCTTTTTTTCTCCCAGCATATTTTTCTGCAATTGAAATAAAAGATTATTATTGTTTCTCTTGTCGTAATTGTGCCAATATGGAAAGGATGGTATATATAGGTATGATATGTCATCAGAAGTAAAGTCGCGCTTACCAGAAAATAGAGAAAATGTAATCAAACATACAATCATAAGGTCCAGGTTCACAACCACTCAACAATAGGAAAACACCAAAAGTAACAAAATGTTAAACCAAAAATCCAACAATCACCTGGTTAGCAAGTGCAGCTGGTGAATCTGGGGTTCTTACATTGTAACTTCTATTGTTGACAGCAAGTTTTGTCAGCTTGCTCATACTTTTATCACGCTGTGTTGCGTAGGACTGAGAAATCCCACTGGGAAATGAAAGAAATAATTATATTTCAGAAGATGATTAAACTCCTGAATGAATTGTGCACAAGTATGTTAGGATCATGAATATTACAATGAAAGAAATGCAAAACTCAAAAGGAATCAGAAAATTGGTAGGAACTAGGAAACTAGCAAATTAAAGCTAGATGAAGCTACCAGAACTTTCTACTTCTTAGAATCTTATTCTAAAAAGAAAATCATATACCGATTGAGGAACTTCATTCTCCTATCTGCTGAGGCTCTGGATAAAGCTTCTTTAGGACTTGAAACCAAATCATCATCTAGGCTGAGTTTCGCCTTCAAGTCATCAGGCAGAGCCTGTATGATTTGGGAATGAGAATAATGGAGATGGACGACGAATTTTATGAAAAAAACAAGGATCTTAATTCTTTGGAAGGAGTCAAACCATAACATCATTTATGAGTTTCTCCAATTGAATTTGTTCTATGTATGTGCGTGGAACATAGGAACCATCCAGACCCAACTCCTCAGCAATAAATTTGACATATAAACGATCTCTTCCTTGTACCTGTGGGCGAAATTTTTATTAATCAAAATCACACAGATTTACATTTGCTGCATAGCAAGAGTCAAAATATGGAGGGCCACGAAAATTATTGAAGTATAGGATGAAAAAGTTACTGATATCTCAACTCAACATATCAACAGATTCAACATACTGTCAAGTATAATAATAATAATAATGATGATGATGATGATGATGATGATGATGATGATGATGATGATGATGATGGTGATGGACGGCAGCTCTTTTTGTCATACTAATAACTCAGACCGTGAACCAAATGAGAAGTTGCTTTTCAAGAGCATATGGATACAAATCACATAGCCAACAGATTCAACATACTGCCAAGTACTGAAAATAGCATATACCATAGATAGAAGTGTCTACAGTAATAATCAACCTGAAAAATATTTAAAATAGCATAAGGAGCAAACTAGTAGCTGGGGCCCTTACCTGGACATAGTTGCGATTAAGTTGCTCCAGCCAATCAGTTTTTACACAAATTTTGTCGTTGGAGAAGACATGACTACTTCTTTTCAGGATGGATGCAATTGTATAGCCAAGTGCCATGAGCCCACCCAGAAGACGTACACTGACCTCAAAAGTAATTCTCGGTGATATGATGAAAGGGCTATCGGTCACCCATTCCTGAAAGCATGTTATGGTACTGCCTAATATTCATAAAATCGTAATTTAATACCACTTCAATAGCAAGAAACAATTTTTGCAGTGTTATTAAATGGCGGATGGCGGCAGGCCAAAATTCCGCCATAGCAGCCGCCATTTGATAACACGGAATTTCCGAGAATAGTCATCACAAACTTCAAGTCTTCAACCTATACCATGGAACTACAAGGGGACCAAAGGCTGACGGCAGATAAAAAATGTAAAGCAATAATAATATTGAATAAAAAATGAAAGTGATTGAACATTTAATTTTGACAAATTACCTAAGGATATTGGTACCGTATTTTATTAGATCCTAGAATAAATTAAAGCTATGGCTAGTAACTTATAAGATCCTAGTCAATCAGCCAGTGGTTTCCCTGCCCTTCCTATTTGTTATTACCTTTTTTTATTTGTCATAAATTAGTACAACTATACTGGTCATCAATGGATGAGAATATTGCGAGATATATTTTGTAATAGCTTAGGCTATTGAGCAAATTGATTCTGGCTGGGCCACGTATCTGCTGGGAGAGGGTTAATCACTTTTGTTCTTATTTATCATCAATAAACCTTTTTTTCAATAACCAAGATTTTACTGATTCTTTGCTCCAAACAGATGTTACCACCAGTATTATATGCAAAATTCTAATTTATGGCCATAATCTCGTCAGCCAAAATAGTGGGTCATTCGCATTAGATGTTGATATCCTCCAGTTCCAGAGACACGGCATGCTCCAATAGCCCATCTTGTCAGAAGTTAAAAAATGCCATGCGAGCCATTTTACAGAAGCAACATTTTAAGAGAAGTGCATCACAGTCATAACTCTGAGATACCCACAAATATACATTTTCAAGGGAGAGGTAATAGGTATAAATAAGAATTTTGCTAGTCGACCACCTAAACAATGAATCAGAATGGCATCTTATAACAGGAGACACTAAAGAAACAGGAAAAGGAACGATTACATAATAGAGTGGGTGTTTCTAATAGTGTGTTGGGCAGGTGAATGGCGATTAGTTGTTGAATAAGGAAAAAAACAAATAAAAGGAAGCTGAGAATTTCCAACCGAACCTCAAACATAAGATTGTACTTGCCATCCCTGTTCCTCATCCTTAAATAAGATTGGCATGCTTCAGGATCCTCACCGGGCGGGAGAAGATAAATATCATAAGTTTGCTCAGTAGTTTCCTCATAATCTTCAGAAAGAACGGCCTTAATTTGATCAGTTGTCACTATCCTTGTTGACTTAAGCGAAAGGAAAAACCTTGTTGTCAGAATGAGATGCATATTTGCAGCAATTTTAGTCAATTAGTGCCAGAATTAGAGGACTCACCTTTAATATATATGTGGGATTTTGAAATCCAGTGAATGGATTAAACTTGTTAATTATTTTTATATGTGCTGTTTGTAGATCTGGTTCTATAAAAGCTTTGTACATGGGATACACCTGCATCAAGGGAATATGTAAGAGAGATCATTTCAATTCATCTGGTAATCTTAGATTTACATTCGAATTTTGATATCTTAATATGTACGTAAGAAAGCAATGCACCGTTTCTGATATCTGATGAATTATCTCTTCAGGCTCTTGTCCAGCACGTTGAATGTCTCTCATAACACGTTTAACAAGGTCAAAGTGCACACCACCAGTCACAGAAACACGAAGATCTAGCAAGGGCCTTAATTTTTCACTCAAGGCATATATTCCTTCGATAATAACAATTCTGGAAGATGGAACTTCCAGTGTCCTGCTTAACAAAAGAAATTGATAATAATAACTAGTTCGGGTGGAGACATAGGCCACATACATCTATTACTTTTTTTTTTATGGGCAAGAATTCAAATCATGGATTTACTACATTACTACATTACACTTATTCAACACAACGAGATTAGGATAAGCTGCACCCATAATTGAGGGAGTTATGTTTTATGGTTATTTTTTATTCACTACTTAAGTCATGTTTAGTTCTGAGAATTATAAATATGATGAACACTACAATCCCCAGGAAAACAAATTCTTGGATTTGTTCGGCTCAACACGGAAAAGAATGAAGATACTCATAGGAAATAACAGAGATCTAAAAATGAGTCAGAAAGTGGAAAGCAGTAGACCTGTAGCCAACACGGGAGCTGGATTTAAAATCATAAATGGGAATTTGGACTGCAGTTCCTGCTTTCAGATCATGGATATTCTCTAGCAGAGTGTCGTAATCTGTTAAGCGCGGGTCTGTTCAAAAAGATACGAACAGTAATGTTGGGTATTTGCCTTTTATACAGCTCAAAATTAACTAGTTAATGAACTCAATTCAGACTCTATATTGCAAGTTTACTACATAAGATCTGTCACGACATAGCCCACGTAGTCAGTGTTCAAGTTTACTACATAAGATCTGTCACGACATAGCCCACGTAGTCAGTGTTCACTATACCAATTAACAATGGAATGTGGGAAAGGTAAAAAGATAATAAAACCAAACCCATAAGCTGTTGCAACAATTTTGATTGACAAATTGGAGAAGATACATATGTTAGCTTATAAGTTAACATAAAATCCAAAAGAAAGAAAATTTGTTTTCTGGGAGGTAGTTTAGGGGAGGTGGGTTGGGGAAGGGGAAGGGGAATGGCCCTAAGTATATATGCTTCAGTTATAACTTCACCATGTCAGATAAATTGGTGAACCAAAACCAAAAGATACGAAACTGATAAATTTATACACTACATTAAATAAAAAGGATATTTGCCAACTGGATACTGCAACAAAATTAATGCGACAACTGCCTACTGTCTCTACCAATTGGTTGGATGCATATCACTGACTATGGGTTGATTATCTATTTAATAAGTAAGATCATTGTTTCAATTAGATAGATTTTGAACAAGCTGGTAATAATGTCTTAGGCACCCCAATTCTGTTGTAATGTTCATTTTTTAAGGAAATTCTGCCAGGGGATGATCTTAAACTTTTAGCAGACTTGTGCTAAGTTGAAGTCCTGAAGCGAGCGAACTCAGAGAAAAAAAAAATGTGTGTTACATATATTAAGTGACAATAAGACTTCTCAAACTGAGACAAAAGTCAGCAGTCATTGACTCATAAGAACTTAATCTAATAATCATAAGAGTCGGTACAAAAGAGTGGCAGAAAACAGAGGCAGACTGAGTTTGAGAAGTGGCTTCGAGTGGTCAGTGCCTAACAATCAGAGGAGAATGTCTCCTGTGAACAAGCCATTATTTTCTGCAAATGGCCGTTTGCACAACTTTCAAATTTTATCACAGAAAATCCTGAAATGTGACTGTGGGGAAGGATTACTTTATGGAATAAAACCACTTGGTCATAATAGTATATGGTTCGCTGTTGGGAGGTAACATGACAGCCAAAAGGGCAGATAAGCAGTCCTGCAAACATTAGTTATCTTTTGGACTTTCAGGGTTTGATTCTAAACTGATACTTTAAAATTAAAATAGCAGAGCCAGATTTTCAAACTACAAAAGGGACCTCAAGTGCCAGAATTACTTTGAAATGCTGATCGTTCAAGCAAAACAGGCAAGAATGTATCTCTCACTCACGAACAATTAACTGAAAAGCAAACATCACGCTAGTTGTGTTTATAAAAATCCTAAAACACGCGCAACTTGGATCAAGTTTCACAATGGATTTTAGTAGAAAATCCATGGGAGATCGAGAAGACTTTATAAAGGATCCTTCAGTTGCAGATTTTTCCGAAAGAGAATTTTGTGGAAAAATCATACATGGAACCAATTAATAAGAGGACTTAAAGGAAGATACCTACGAAAGGCTTTCAAATTTCACTGTAAAATCCCCCAAAAAAAAAATAGTCAATTTTCTCCTGTAGTATATGAGAACGGTGGACAACTACACAACCTCAACATAGTGAAATAAAAGAAGCTTAAAAAGACTTTGCTGTTAAACTTTGATACAAGAATTTCAGAAGTTTGAGGTCTATTCAACTTTCCTTCCAGACTTTCCTTGCCACAAGACCAGCCAACGTTCACTATTGTATTATCATTTGGGCACGTCCACCAACCAACTCAGATATAGTTTTTTACGTTTCTTGTTTTTTTTTTTTTTGGCTAAGTTCATAAGAGAAGAAAGTTGATTCATGCGAAAGAAACCTTCTACAATTGCAGAAAGCAAGCCCTTAATTGTTAGAGGAAATTCAATGAATTCAATTTCATATTAGCAACATCGACTAGGATTTCCATCCAATAACCTAATTTATCAAACCATAAAATGGAGTGAGCAAAAGGCAAATAAAAAAGAATAAAATCAACTTTAAAACAAACAGTAAATACTTCTAAGAGCATAGCATTTATTTTGAGACAAGCTAACATATTCATAAGTTGCTAAAATAGTCACAAGAGCAGCTCGTAAACAAGAATAAGATGCAACAACAATGCTTGCAGACTTTTTACCGTCATAGTTGCCATCAATAATGCGGCTTGCATCATTGTAATTATCCATATTTATAATAGCGATGCTGGGCATAAAGTTCAAGATCTTTTCTGTAAGTACTGTCTTTCCAGCCCCTGAGGGACCTGCTATCCCAACTAATATCATGCCTTCGTTCTTCTGAGCCAATAACTGGCATGCACGAACAACTGCGAAAAACCCCTTCTCAAAGGACAAAGGATCTTGGATGGGAACAATCTCATACCTAACAGAATCTTTTCTCTTAACCAATTGGACCTGATCTCTTAGTAGGCCTGTCCGTCTTCTCGGTGATTCAGCACTAGGAACAGTGTCCCGAGGCATACTAAAGCTGAAAAAAATTGCTAAACATCAGTAGAGTAGAGTAGACTACAAGAATAAGAATACTTAACTCAAAAGACAGATGAATCATTCGTTTTAGAAACATCTGCACAAAAGAGTTTCACAATCCTAATCCTAAGTGCAAGGCTGTTTATTCTGGAAGAGGGCAAGTCCTACAGACCATACAAACCTTAGTATTCTTTGTTATACTGTTCTCACATTTCATATGTTTCAACTTTTCACTTAACTAGCAAATCAGGTTATAAACCCATTTGAAATTAGCAAGAACAACAATTCCATGTAGTCATTGAAGAACAAAAGCTTGAGTTGTAGGGAAATAATATCCTCCTAGACCTTTAATTGGGAATGAAATTGAAGACCTCTGGCAAAGCTGAAAATGATACAAAAGCATAATCTCCACCAAAGATAACTAGGAAAGGAGAAACAAAATGAGATGTCGGTACATTGCCTTTGGAAAAACAAATAATCTAAATATATTTTTCCATATAGTTGAGTAAATGAATTTGGAAGAAACAACAAAAAAGAGATGGCTAAAGCAAATAAATTCCATTATCATTACAATTGTTCCTTCTTTTCATATCACACCGAAGCAAATTGAAAAACATAATTCATTTTGTTGCATCATCACTACGAAAAGTTTCAGAAAAGGCCATAAGCAATGTAATTTAGGAACAAACAGAAGCATTATCTGATCAGTCAGATACTGCTGTAAACTAAGAACAAGTGTTGCACCATCATTTTTTTTTTTTCATGAATTATAACAACCCAAAAGGATTGGACATTAGAAGGGAAAACTTCAAACAAAATAAATGATAGAAAAATGGCAAATTCATTGAGTCACCGAAAGATGAGGAATATTCTATTTGTATCACATAAAATCTAGAAAGTGCAAAACAGGTAGAGGCATCAGAGAGTAAACAAAAAATCTAGAAATTCCAACAAGTCGATACACTGACCTAGTGACAGTGAACTGCCTCTCAGTTCAGATTCTGACTATCCTGAGCTAGATACTCAAATTTTCGTTTCATATATGATCATTTATCTTCAAACTCTTTAATTTGCTTAATTTTTCGGATCTAAAACATGTCTAACAATCATGTGTAATCAATTTTAGTATCTGTAAAATTCCCACTTGAACCACTACAAGTCTCTCCTCCAATATACATTGCTTGTCCACTCTANAACCAAATAACAAAATCTATATATATATATAATTACTAGCTAATAGAATTTAATAAAATTTTACCTATGTGGCAATTTAACAATTTTTCCTCCAAAAATCGTTACATTTTAATTTATTTAATTTTTTATTTAATCATTAAATAATTAATACTCATCACTTCAAAATTACAAAAATCATTTTAAACTTTTGATTAATGACAGTTGACCATATGATGTGTTGACCGTATAATGTGATTAGATGTTATTATTGTTGTTACATTTAATTTTTTTTCTTTTGAAAATAAAAAATATATTTGAAATTCCTAAATAAATAATAAACAATTCACAATTAAAGACGTACCAAAATATACATTACATCCAATCAGATAAACACAATTAAAAAAAAAATATTCCAACTCTTTTAATTGAAAATTTGGTCTGCAAAAAAGTGAAAGAAAAATAATTAATCATTATATGTACAGACTCACAATAATTTATTTATATCTGTGCAAATGCACAGGTCGAATACTAGTTCCAACCAAACTCTCAAAGGGAGAAACATTTAATGTATACTATTTTTGGAAACTTTTTAAATATATACATTAATAACTTCCATATACACGTTTTCAAATAAGATATGATCAAAAAAATTATTTAAATAAATTATTAATATTTGTGATACTTTAATTGATATTTATTATAATAAAATAAAAGATTGATTTTCCGAGATCTATGTTGATAATATTTTGGTCAAGATAAATATTATTTTGTTAATAGTTATAATACTTTCATTGATATTCATTATAATAAATTACAAGATTGATTTCCATAATCCATGTTGATAATATTTTTGTCAAGATAAATATTACACCATATTTTAAGTTCTAACCATAATATAATTTTTTTTCACAAATATTTACTTTTTATCCAAAAATATTTATAAAAAATCGTAACAGGTTAGGTAGAATTGTTTTTCCAAGTAATCAGACAAAATGAAGTTAATGAATTAATCTTTGCCAATTTATTTTTTTCTTAAGCTTTATTTTGTTAAATTTAAAAAATAAATTGTTCTTCAAATTAATATAATATACTATTTAAGAGATAATGACCATATACATTAAATAGTTGTACTAATGGTAAAAAATTAAAATTGAAATATATTAACTATTTTTTAGAATTTATTTGTATATTATTGACACCTATGATTGTTTTTTTTTTCATTTTTTATTTTGATTTATTTCTATAATTAAATTATTGTAAAATAAATTTTCATTGCAGAGTATGCTAAATAAACTATAAATCCTCATAGTGCGAATTAGAAAAATCTTGATCATAGAAGGAATTGAGTTTTTGGCATTTCCTAAATCAAAGTTGTTTAATTAGTATCCAAAATTAAATTCTAAAAAAACATGTGTATATTTTGTAAAATATTTACACACTATTTAATTTTAAATTTATTTACATATTTTAAATTGATTACGTAAATAAATAATACTAACGTCCATTAAATATTTTTCATTACATAAAATAAAAAGAAAAAGAAGACGTACAACTTCTATAACGTTATAAATAATAATGACATTATATGACAACAAAGTTTATAATAAAATAATAATTATTTATTATATGGTAAACAAGAATAAGTAAAATTGTTATTCTCTTTTGGAATAAATATATATACTAAAATTAAATTTATATTAGTATAAATGTGTTAGTGAGATAATATATTAATTATTTTACAAGCTAGCTAACATGCTCATATTTAATGTTTTGACTAAAAAAATCCACGCTCAAACTAGATTATAATCTTATTGTTTATTACACTTATAGCTGATTAAAAGATGTGGAAAATAGATGATAACTCTATTGCTTTATATACTTAAACGGACAAAGACAGTAAAAATAACTCATTTAATATTTTTGTCTCGTGCATCGCACGGGGTACGTACTAGTTATAGTTAGAGCGATCTTCTTTATCGTTTTAACCGCATCTCCGACTAAAATGCCGTACCGTTATCCGCTTTTAATTAACTTACCGTACTTCTATTTTNNAACAATAGAAACTACATATAACAAAGTAAGTACGTACTAGTCAACGGCCAACAGCCGAAACTAGTTGGGAGGCATATAACAGGGCTGCTTAGATCCAACCAAATAACAAAATTCCAACCAAACTCTCAAAGGGAGAACACACTCCCAAACAGGAGAAAAAAAACTCCCACAAGTGGAGACAAAACAACTCCACTCTGGCCAAGAAGAACTAGAGACAAGAAAAGAATACGGATAAAAACAAAAATTAGGCTAAAACTAAAACAAAAGCCCTCCTCACCGGCCGAAGACGAGCACCAAACCGACACAACACAAACAAGCACCGATGCATAAAACATATCGGAAAGATACACCACCAACTGTTCAAACCGAATCGAGAAACACCAAAAGCGGATACCTCGACTCGAGTTGGCAAACCCGAGCTCCCCCACAGTTTACTACCTAGGTCAGCCCCAGAAGGCCTGAACCGATGCTCTCCCTAACCATACCCCCATCGCCACAGCCACAAGAACCGCCACCGCCCGGAGGATCCAGTGTCCAAACACTAGGGACAACCTAAAACAGGAAGACCGAGGCTCAGGCCTGAAGCCGACGGCCGCAAGCAACCACCAACCCAACCCGACGCTCTACCGCCAAGCCAACGACCACATCCTAACTTCCGCCATGGCATCCGGTAAGAGGAAGAAACCCACGCGAAGAGGGCGACCACTAACCCGCCGAGGAATAGGCTGACCAGGGACAACCATGTGTCGGTCTGCGCCGCTGGGAACGGCATACGCGTCGGTGGGGAGGCCAAAACAGATCGGGAATTAACTTACGTTTGGTTTTAAGTTTTAACTACACTTAAGTCTCAAAGTCTCAACCTTGTAAGAGATCCTGCGATATAAATAAATTTTTTTTATGTTATATATGTGTAGCAATTTTCCAAATGCAATTCTAAAACCCCACTTTATCTCTCCTAAAATCCCTTTTTTTTCCCTTTTCTGGGATAGGTTCGGCGCGCCGTTTTGCCTTCTCCAGTCGGGCTCTTTATCGGCGGCCGACCCATACCCGCGCAGCTCAGTCTCGTTTGGTACCGATGCTTGTCCTCTCGAGCCGGTGGGTGGTCGACAGGTTCTGAGAGGTTCTCGTCGTGTTTCTGGTCACCTTTTCGGGCCCAACGGTCGTCCATCTCCCGGGTGGCGAGGCTTTGGCGGGTAGCGGTGCTTCTGAGGGGCTGGGTTGTGGCTCCGATGGATTGTTTGTGGTGGTCGTGGTAGAGGAGAGTGAGCTCACCCTCTTGTCCCCTTTGCCTTTAGTGCATGGGCCGAGGGGACGACCGATGTGACGAGTCCAGGTTCGTGGTGTGAGCTGGGCTCGGGGGCAGTGGTGGCGTGGTGGGGGTTGTCTCGGTTTTCTCTGCTGAGGGTGGGGCCGATTGCCTGGGCGCAGGGTCGAGCTCTAGGTTTGGTTCCAGCTAGGCGTGAGTTGCAGTTTCTGGTTTTGAGGCTTGGGGTGAGATCCAGCCTGTATGGGTGATCGGCCATAGGTGTTATTGTCGTGGCTGCTTGGCGTGTTTTTCCGTCTGTGAGAAGGGCTTTAATCTAATTTTTATGTTTATGTGTTTGTTTTGTTTGGTGGGGCTTTTTTGGGTTTTTGTGTGTCTCTTTTTTTGTGTTATGTGTTTGTGCTTTTCTCCCGTAGGGGAGTGTGTATTCTCCCGTAGGGGAGCTTTTTAATCTCCAGTTGTGGAGTTTCTTAGTTTAGTTTTTTGTCATGTTTGTGGGTGAGTTGTTTTCTAGGTTAGCTCTAGGCGATCCTCGAATCTGTCATCCCACTAGATCAGCTCTTGAGCTATCTTATTCAGCTGTCGGGCTATTTTCTAGTTGTAATTATGTGTTTTTTGTTATAAAATTTCTATCATTCCGACAAAAAAAAAATAGAAAATATGTGTATGCATATACAAGTAATAAAAGTTAGATAAAGATCATATTATATTTTATAAATTTATCATTAGTAAAGATAAAAATAAAAATATAAATCATTTTACTTGCATATGAATTGCTATATTGCAATAACGTTGAATGATAATGACAAATAAATGAGATAAAAATATTAAAATTATTATTATATCAATTAGTATTCAACCCGTGCATTTACACGAAAAACAAATTATTAGAAGAGTAGATAATACAAATATAAAAACAAAAGTAAAAATCATAATTTCATCCATGAAAAATTAAGAACAAATAAAAGAATTCTATATATTATTAAAAACTTTGCTACATACAACATTTTATGATTTTTCTATCTTTAGTTCTCGTCACCACAAATCATTATCTCAATCTTTTCCGATTCGTGACTCTGGAAAGAGTCAAGTATAACTACACATGAAAAAAAAGGTTCTTCAGTACAAAGTCGACGTGCGACAAAGACTAGCCTTGATTTTGTTGATTGTCATAACATAAGAAACCATAACAGGAAATCGTTTCTGCTGAAACTTGAACGTTACCCTCAAATCGGAAGGTATGAATATGAGCCTATGAATAAGAACATTATCACTAGCCTCGCACCGGTTAAAATTCTACATTCGATAACATGGCTAATGAGCTTAGTAATAACCAAGAGTGTACTATTGCACAACCCCATGAAGTGATCAATGTTTCTCAACAGCATCACCGAGTGTCAACCTTCAACTGCAATTTATGATTCGGAAGCCCCGAGCACTTAATCCCATTCAGAAATTCAGGAGTATGAAGATCGTGAAAAGAGTCATATCCAGCATCTGACTTGCAAGCGGTTTCCGAACTCAAATAAGTCCTTCACTCAGAGGAGTTTAATGAGCTCATGTACTCGTTAACGGACTCAACAACGTCAACTTTGGGAGCGAGTATGACTCTGTCCTTCAGATAGCTAAGATCGTCGCCTGAACTTCTGAACATCGGGTATACACTCTCAACAATAGTAGCAATAGGATCCCCTTGTGATTTCAGAAGAATATCATCGATAATGTCGATTTGCACATCCGTCGTTCGATCCACCGACTATATTGTCTCCAATACTAGCAAGCCACTCTGAGAAGTGCATCGACTCATCGTATTCATCACCCCACAAAGGTTTTGAAGCCTCATATTTCTAGTTAGTCTCAAAATGATACAATCCTACCACAACTTTCTCCAAATGGGAGATTTTTCCTGGATGAATCCACTACCTCCATTAAGGCTCGCAACGCATTGTCCACTGTCCGGATGCAATACTTATTCATCATCGGTGCTTCATCCCAACTATACCAATTATTTTTTCGGTTCGGTTCAATTTGAAAAAAGTCAAACAGTCAATGATTATTTTTCAATTCAATTTACGAAACGATTTGAAAATCTACGAGTCTCATGCTCAACCCTAATTCTATCCCCATTTATACAGGCCTATGGGATATCCTAGGGGCCGGAATCAATGCCACGAAATCATGGAAAACAAATGTGGCCTAAGTGGTACTGTAGACCCTGTTACCCATTGCCGTCGGAAACAAAACTGGATCCGTCAAGAAGAAAAGGTGAATCTGGCTTTGTGAATTGAGCCAAGCCTTTTACACAATATAAAATCTCATTGAGAGAGGGAGACCGACTATGTTAAAGTCGCACACACGAGCACTTACCGTCTCTCTTCGTCATCATCTCATCACCATCCTCATCACCTTCCATTGCCGGATTTTCACTGGCAATTACTCCGTTCCCGTCCACCACCGCTCATCTCCATCTTGTATCTTGAAGAAGCCGAATCCCAATTTGGTTTATTCTATGATCCTCTTGAGCCAGACATGTTTAGGTGAGTACCAATTGCCATAACTTATGCTGCTGCGCAACAGGAGTTGTCTTGGTTTAATGAAGCTTAATTGCTTTGATATTCCCGAACTAAAATGCTAACGTGCTAGGCTATATGACGCGGCTGATTGAAATTTAGGTGTGATTGTTTGAGAAGCAATTATTGGATCAATTATAGGAGTTCTTTGGGACAAACACTTGACATGATGTAGTACGTCCTTGAATCTCCTGTCTAGGTATTTTGCTGTGTGCTGTTCTATTTGAATTTTGGCCATTCTCACCATCACAACAGTTTTTTTTTTTTGGTTGCCTTTCCCAAAACGAGTAGCTCAGTGTCTTGGCATTCTGCAGGTGAAAGAATCACTCTGAAACGCTATTTTCTAGGAAGTTTTATGTTTGAAATACGAAGATTGCACATCCCTGTTGCTGTTTAGCGTTGAGCTGTTTCCACCCTGTCAACATTCTGGTTTGTGTGGGGTTTTCATAAGGGTTATTGATCAGTATCTTAGCTTTTCATTGCCCCATGAATCAGTGTAGTATCTATTTTATAGAGACCGTTATGGTGAAAATTCAAATGCTGCACAAATCTGCTGTGTGGTGCTGTTAGGTTTTTGCACCAGCACCACAACTATGTCCTGTTCCGATATTTTGACCCTTGAAAAGTATTTATTTGTCATGGGAGTCCTATTATTTTTCCGTACCTATTTGTCTTAGCTTCCCAAAACTGCAGGAAACAGTCGAGTAGCTATTTTGCGGAGCTGTAAATATGATTGCCAGTCTCATTGTATCTCCTCTTATACTTATTGGTTTTATCGTATTATGAGTGTTGTCTCATAATGATTGTTATTTTGTATTTATTGTTGAATCTTAGGATAACTGTTTAAAGGACTTGTCTCTCTTCAGCAAAGCATCTCTGGAAGCTTGTAATTAAGCAAACAAGTGAGTAAAACCTCTTCACAACTTGTGCTTATTCAAGGAAAACCGCAAAACTTGTCATACAAACATGTATATGCTTGTGACTTAGTGGTGTGTGCTAATTGTGACTTGATGATCTTTTTTCAGAATTTTGGTTTTAACAAGCTAACCAAAGTTTCTTCTTGATTTATTAGGAGCAGGAGATTCTGATGGAGGGCTTGATAAGCACTAGGATCGTATTGAAACCAGTGAACTCTTTTGGTGGAAGGGAACAAAACTTGGTAATTCTTCCTTCGTTGGCCCCACGAGTTACAGGGAGAGTTCTAATTAGTCAAATTGAGGTCTTCAGAAGTTCCAAGTCATTTAGTCCAGTCACTTCTTTTGTTCAACCATTGGGGGCCACTGCTATGGGCTTTTTTGATAACACAATACCTTCCAAAGGTGAAACTTACGTATCTCAGGCATTTCTTTACAAATTTATATACCCCATATCTTGCATCTATGGTCTCCTTAAATAATTTGCACCAGATGGGCTTCCATTTGATCAACATTGGACATCTGATTGCTCTGATCACATCTTTTGAACCTCTTGTAGTGTCTTATGTGGCATTGCCTTCTATACAAGTGGTAAATGTCATGTTATGACTGCTTCTTTTTCGTCTTATTAGAGGTTCTTGATGTCTGGAGAAATGCCGATGCTGTATGCTTCGATGTGGATAGCACAGTGTGCTTGGACGAAGGGATAGACGAACTGGCAGAATTTTGTGGAGCTGGAGAGGCTGTTGCAAAATGGACTGCCAGGTCTCATGGCTTTTCTTTTCTTTATTTTTCTACTTATATTTTGAGTTCCTTAGTATTGGTGGAGAGTTATTCTTGATATATAATCTCAACTTTTAAATTTTACTTCAACTTTTGTTTGTTGACTCTTTCAGGGCGATGAGTGGTTCTGTTCCTTTTGAGAAAGCATTGGATGCCAGACTATCTCTTTTTAACCCATCGTTGTCCCAAGTGATGCAGTTTCTTGAAAAGCGACCCCCAAGGTACAATTTTTTATTTTATGGCTTAATTAATGTAAACAAAATAGTTGCTTCTATAATCTATACCCATTTATTCTGCATATCATCTTTAGTTCATCTAGAGTATAACTTTCCACGTACTCTATCAAGTGGAGTTTACTTTTTGTAATTGTACATATGGATAAGAATATTCCTACATGGGAATTACTATCTTTATGTTACTCTCTTAAAAGGGATAGTGGTATCTTGATTTTTTTAAATTGCCAAAAATACCCTACACTATACACGATTTTTAAGATTATTGATGTTGTTGGTTATTAATACTAGTGCATATCCCGTGCGATGTACGAACGGGCTTTTTTACTTTAGATTTTTTTATAATTTTATATTAAACATAATTATTTATGTTTAACATCTTATTATTGTAAGAAAAGAAATATAAAATATGAAAAATTATATATTTTTTATTTGAATATAATGAGTGTCCCTTTTCCATAATTTTATATTAAACATAATTATTTATGTGTAACATCTCATAATAATGTAGGAAAAGAAATAAAAAAGATGAAAAATTATGTATTATTTATTGGAATATAATGAGTGGTCTGAACCAAACCAGTAACATCCAACACATGATATATGATTAAATTAATTATATGATCATCATACATTTTGAAAATATACATATATATTTAATAAACATGAGATATTTAAAATTCACATTGAAATTTGTAATTTGGATATGAGATGAAAAATAAATATGTACAAAAAAAATGTACCAAGAACCCACATTATATGAAATTCTTTCTTAACTTTAAAATATTTTGTAGTTAAATAAATATGGACAAAAAAATCATCAATTAAGTTGAACTATCGAATATAAAAAATAATTTCTAAAATTAACATTGTTTATTAATTAAATACGAATTTTTAGTTGTGACCATAAAATATGAGATTTGTAGATAGATAAATATAGATAAAACAATATTTAGCAATTAAATTGACATGACTTTCGAAAATTTTCAAAAAATTTCAAACGTTTTATTCGTAAATGGTTGACCGTATTTTTGTAACCCAATTTACATGTTTGACCGAAAAAATTAGAAAAATGATTGATCAGACTTTTTAGAAGCAAGATTTTCAATATTCTTTCTCATTATTGGCCAGATTTACCCGTTGTATTTAAAGAAATCATTGACCATATTTTTATGAATTAAGGTTTACATAATATCTTTCTCAAAATAACAATTTTTTTAAATTTGAATTCGAATTTTCATCTAGCCGCCATTTTCCACAAAAAATAAAAAAATGATAGTATTTTTGAAAGTTTTAGAGTTGAAAATCAAATAAAATTAATTTAATAGTAATCGAGTAATTTAATATTATTCAAAATTGTTTGATTCGGTCATAACCACATTTGATTGGCTTTATCAAATGAAATCAGATTTTATACCTAAAATAGTATACCTTTTGTTTGATTTCCCACAACAAAAGTGCTTATCACCGAAATCCGATCCAACCTATTTTAGATTTTAAAAANAAAAAAATATTTTGATGATTAAGAATTTTAATATTTTGAAATTGTTTAATTAAGTTGTTAAATAAAAAGAAGATTAGATTGTTACAATAGATAGAATTCTTCAAACGTAAATTTGTTTTACTTTCTTTAAATTGAAAATCCTCATTTTAAAAAAAATAAAATAAAATGATGATTAAGAATTCTAATACTTTGTTGAATCAATTATTATATAGGTTTTTCAATATAGTATTCTTTGACTGGATATATATAGAATATGTAAAATATATATTTTATTTTTATTTTTTAAATACACAAATCGTCAAACATATTAACAAAATAAAACAAAAAAATCTAACCTAATTTTGAAAAGCGAATAAAAATCGGATTGTATAGGATTTCAGATGTTTTAATTTGGTTATATTTAAAACGTTTTTTGTAGATTTGATGTTGGAGATATTATTGTAAATCTATTATTATATAAAAAGAATAACATTTTTACAAATTTAGAAACTTTTTCTCGCCAAAATCATTAAATATATCTTAATATAGTAATTGTTGGACAACTTTGAATAGGCAAAAAAATCGGCTCATTTTTTTTAGTTTATCAAAACCGTTGCTTGACAATAAATATTTGTTTTTCTTTTTCCTATTTTTAGTATAAATCTACACGCTTATCTCTTCTGTTACAAAATCCCATTGCATACGATCGCACGTCTTTAAAAAATCTCATCCCTTATCTATACAGATTTAAAAAAATAAAATAAAATAGAAACCAATTCATAATTACTACTAGAAATCCATTATTTTTTTTTAAAAAAAATAAAATTAAATAGAAACTAATTCATAATTACTACTGCAAATCCATTTTCTACTTTAAGAAGCTAATTTTCATCGGTCTAATTACTAATATTTTTACAAATATTATAAGCTAATCGGTCTAATTACTAATATTTTTACAAATATTATAAGCTAACCATACAAAAAAGTATAATAATAATTTTGAAATGATGTGCAATCAAATTTTTTTATATTCTCTTATACAAAATAATTTTACATTGTTTGACCCCGAATCTTTAATTTATAATTATTAAGTATTGTTTATCCTCTTTAATTTATAATTATTTTTTTTGCTTCCTCTTTTTAAATAGGAACAATAGTAGTTTCCACTTCCGTCATTGAGTGACTCAAACTCGAGGTCTATTTATAATATTATTAATTTAATATTGTTTCCGTGCATCGCACGGGGTATACACTAGTGGTTATAATTGACTTTGTGTTTCGAATTGTCATAATTGAATTGCTTATTTTTAATTGTTTGTGAGGTGTATCATATATTATGATTGTGATTTTGTTTTGTTGAACAAATGTAGGAATTTTTTTATTATATTTGTAACTATTTGTGCAGTGTACCATATATTATGATTGTGATTTTTTTGTTCACCCACATAATTTTCATTTAAATGTGATTGTATGTTAAAAAAAATTTATTTATAAAGTTATCTGTGGAAAATGGCAGATTTTTTAGAATAATGCTAAAAACGATTAATTCGAATAATTTAGTAAAATTATTTAAATCATTTGGTAGATTTATTTGCAAATTGGAATTGGGACACATTTTTTTAAATTGGACGGTATGTGAAAAACGGATATGGGCAAATCTAAAGAATCCATTTAGAGATTGAATAAAAACAAACATTACCTAATTAAATATGGAACTGAATACACTTTTTTAGGAATAGACAATAATCAGTAAAATTCAGCCGCATCCAAAAGTTTTGAAATAATTCAGCCGCACAGAAATTGGGTTGGGCGGGATTTATCACAAAAGTTCAAAAAATCATTCCATTAATGGTATAAAACGAAAAAATGAGCGGGAAAGTTACATACTATTATTGTATTTTTTCTTCTAACAGATTAGAGGGATCACAATAGATGTTAATAGTTTCCAAAGCTTCTTCTTCTTCATTTTTTTTTTTTTTAATTTGCTTTTGTTCATTCTTCTTTTATATTCTTTTTAGCTTTGGTCTTCTTCAACTTTTATTCAAGAATTGATATTTGAAGTTGTTCCATGTAAGAGAAAATATCTACACAAATTTATAAATATTGATTAAAAAAATAAAAAATAATATGTTCATAGTTTCATAAAGGAAAAATAAAAATTAATAAATTCATCCTAAATTTTAAATAAATTTTCTTAAAAAATATCTTTATTGGTTAATACGTATTTGATTTTTACTATTATTATGGTTTATGAGATTGTTAGAACTTTGGATAAAATATTTCTATATTAATTAGCTTTCATTTTATTTAATAAAAGAGTAATTATAAGTTCAAAGACTATTTGTACAACAATGACATCGGTTTCAAAGAAATCAATTTACTTTCTTAAATTTTTCTTATTAGGTATTATTAGTTGCCAGCTTGGCTATTTCAAATATAATTTTTTCAATATAAGAGAATAAATTACTTTTCAAAGACTTTTGATTTTAGAGTTTTGTATTATTTATTTTTGGGATGTTGGATTACATTTGTTTTATTTTATAAAATCAAAGTGGAAAAAAAGTTGTGTAGAAGGGTTAAATCTTTGTAAATAATTGAAGCCAAAATGTAGTCCTCTAATATACATTATATAATTTTTTGTTTATTTAAAACATTTTGTTTCTTCAGTAAATAAATTATATGATCCAACACTTAGGCACACAACTAAGGGCCGATTACACATATAACACATACATGATACAACTAAGGCATAGAAAAGGACTTAAGGCAAAATTTGACCAATCAAGTACAAATTAATTACACCACAAGCATAGGCAAAAGATAAATTTCAACACTTAGCAACAGTTAATCATAACACACCAAGGCATAAGATCACATAAGTCACTTAGCATAAAAAAATAAACTAAGGTAGAAACATGGACTTAGGCAAATAAATTAACAATTGACAATTAATTTGGATTCTCTGGTTTCAAGAAGGTGAAAAGAACACAAAAGGATAAAACAAAACTGAAATTCCGATTTTAGTCGAGCAATGCAAAGTGAGATGATTCAATAAAACGGGGTGTTACAGACACAATTTTGTTTTCATTGGTAAGTCTTCTACATCTAGGTCCCCTGATTGTGACATAAACTATAGGTGGGTTCTAAGTTCTTATTTGATTTTGTCAAAAGTAATGTAATGTAAGGTGGGATGCTTCTCAATCTTGATGTGGTTCTAAAATGAAATGACGATTTCGGAGGATTACATGTTTCTATGGAGCGATGATATATTAAACTGTGTTTGTGTTGTTTAAATTGTTACAGCTCTTGATTTCATGTGATTATGTGAAAAGTTTATGGTTATCATTTTACGTCTTCTTGCAGTGCATATTTGGCTTATATACTCTTTTTCATATAGACTTTCTCCTGGAATCGATGCATTGGTGAAGAAGCTGAAGGAGAATAACAAAACTGTTTTTTTGGTATCTGGAGGTTTTCGTCAGATGATAAATGTAAGTTTCTTACTTGTTAGACTATTTTACTTGAAAAGGATTATTGTTCTGAAAGATCATTAGTTTAATCGTTATATAGATTTGCTGGAGTTTGTATCCAACAGTGGGCGAACAGAAAGTGCTATTTCTGCATGTTGAACTTTTCCTGTGAATTATCTGTATTATTTGTGAATGTCAGAAATATTCCATCTCTTTCCCTGCGCTAGTAGAATCTTATGAAGTAAATAGCTTTTACTCCGGTACTTGTCTTTTAATATTTACCCCCACATCAGTGTCTTCTTGTACTTTTGTTACACCACTATACAGTATATATGATGCCTCATATCTGGCCTATGATTGTTTCCTGGATCTTAGGATAGACCACTAAACTAACAGAATACATTTTTTAAACCTGCTTCGCCAAAAGTTCACTTGGCCATATCTTCCCACAAGCATGGTATCCTTGATTGTTATGCGAAACACGTTAAAACACTATGAACCTTCATACAGAGCACACATTTACAATATCCAGCCAAATTGCATTTCTTAACTAGCCATTGGTAAAATGGAACACTGAGCCTATTAATGTATATTCAACGCATCTTGCTCCCTGAAACTGCAGTTTTGTAAATATAAGTTCTATCTTTTTAAGTCAGGCATATCCATGATACCGAGATATATATATATATATATATATATATATATAATATATGTATATATATTATATATATGTATATATTTGGTCTAATTTGAATGTACATGTAGGTACCAAACACACACACACACACACATGTATATAGGGACTGCATGAAAGTTCTCTAATTCAGTAATTCAAAGTTATCATAATCTGTCATGAAAAATTTAAAAGAAATTGGGGAAAGGAGAATGCCAGATAATCTTCAGATCAAATTGTACTACAGTGCATAAACTTTCTTTTGGCTGAAAACTGATATTCTGATATATGAGCAGATATCACTTTAAGTATATATATATGTATTTTTTTTCCCTCATTTGGAAGCCCGTTGCATCAATCCTGGGGATACCTTTGGATAACATATATGCCAATCAACTGCTGTTTGCAAGCTCTGGGGACTACTTGGGATTCGACCCCAATGAACATACTTCAAGGAGTGGAGGGAAAGCTACTGCTGTTCAACAGATTAGGAAGGTCACACTTACACCACTACTAGCAGATTATTACTATCTTGTCCTTGTTTCGTGAGATTGCATCTGAGGATGGGTAAATAAATCTCTACCCTTTCATTTACAGACCAAAGGTTACAAGTTTCTAGTTATGATTGGAGATGGTGCAACTGATCACGAGGTTAGAAATATTCACCCTGAATTTTGTTCTCCCTTCAAGAATTGTGAATCATTTCTTTGCATTTTCAAATTTTAAAATATAGAAGAATTTCACCATGGTTCTTTTTCTTTCACATTGTTGAGTTTTGAGAACTTGGATGATTTAATAAATACAATTTTTGTGTAATACTCATTTTCTCTTTCTTGTCTGATCACAATTTCAGGCTTGTCAACCAGGTGGCGCTGACTTGTTTATATGCTATGGGGGAGTTCAGCTTCGTGAGCAAGTTGCAGCAAAAGCTGATTGGCTTGTGTACAATTTCAAAGACTTGATCAACACATTGGAATAGGTTCACCCATTTTTCCAGTACACTTGTTATTCATTTTCTCTATTGTTGTTACAACTACTTTGGCCCTTTTAGTTCAATACCATATTGGTGGATATGGTGGAGTCTTCTCAATAATGCTTCCATTGGCAACACATTTCTTTTGTTATCGAGAGGATAAGCCATGGTGTTGCAAATGGAACAAACGTTTTTTTTGCCCGTGATGTCCCTTATCTTTCTTGAATGAAATAGCAGTACAATTTAAGAGAGAAATTACAGAATGTATATTGGGGAACAATAGTACAGCCAAATCGTCTGTTTACTCCGTTTTCTTACGAAAATAACATTTTTTTTTGTCTTTTATGGTTTATTTTTTGACTATGTGATAACTTGAGGATTGAGGCTTTTTACATATTTTTATTAGTTGGGTGTACATATATATATGCGTCATTTAAACAATCTCTTGTATTGTGAATGATATATAGTACACCATGAAATTGTTTCATATAAATTAATTTCTATTAGGTTTAGTTAAAGTCATTAAACCGAGTTAGTTTATGTCAAGATTGCTATCTAGAGCGTTGAAACCGGTTTAGGTGTGCGATTGGCTCGTTTGGCCAGGCAAAGGGGGCAGTTTGGGCTGATAAATTTTAGGCGCGCCAGGAAGTGGGTTTAAACGAGCTCACTTGCGCAGGGTAGGGAGGGCAAGTCCACTCGTTGGCACACTCCCACTCATAATTTTCTTAAAAAAGAATAAGGTGTAAAACCAACTATATGAGCTCTCCTCTCCCCTCTTTAAGTTGGCGCTTATGTCGGTAAACAATAAAATCGAGTTTTATGCTCAGTCCTCTTCTCGTATATGCGAGTACCATTAAGTCGTCAATCGAGTGACTCAGAGGATTCTTATTTTAAAAGTGTTAAACCTTCCTCGTCACTTAGAGGTTTTAACAAGAACTTGAGAGGCACTTGGAAGTAAGCCTTATATAATTTGTTGAGGAGTTTCATAATTGGAGGAATATACTCATTCCATCTGTTCTTTAAATGTCTCTCACAAAGTTTGATTATGTTGTGGAAGCATTTCTTTTTTTTTTTTTTGGATTCATATCAAATACCGTTTATGAGATGGTTCTTCATAGGCGAAATTATTACAAAGCACCCAGATAGAAGGTGAGATATTTGATCGTCAAATAAATCTTCTCCTTGATTTGGGCTTGCACTCCACATTAGAGGTGCCAAACTTTTCTTCCAGCAAATATGCTTTGAGTTCAGTTCTATAATTGAAAGCGGATATAAGGAGCCGTAAGATATGATGGGGTATGACATAGGTGATTTCCCATTGGAAGAAGCGAATGTGCTTATCTATGAGGTTGGAGAAACAAGTGGACTTATTCACGATCAATTGCAACACTACAAACTTAACAAACACTACAAACTAAGTGCCTATCTTGATTACCCTTATTTTGTTGGTTGTTGATATCCGTGCTCAGTTCCACAAGAATATAGTGACAAGAGTTTACATTTCACAACTTTGTGCACTCTACCATTACTCCCATTTTTGGAAAATATAAAGGTGTGACATGGTTGACATTTTTTCTTAGATCCTGGTTGATTTGAACTCGGGTTTGTCGAGCCCTTAATGAAAAATCGAACGCTTCGTAGTTGGCATCCCACGACATTTTTTTTTTTTTAAATTTTTTTGTATTTGTATCTATTTTTTAAGTAAAAAAACCTATTGTGAGCCGGATTCTCGGACGCCAGCATGCCCGCACACCCACACCTGCTCCGTGCGTCACTAGCCATTTTCTGGCCACTCGGTACAGTTATTTTCGTCGCCGATCTTATTTTTCAGCGGAAAACACCTCATACACCATATTTTTCCAATTTTTCTACTCTCACGAAGCCTATTTGATAGCTTATTGCTCATTTTTTTTTATGCTTTGAACACGATATCTTTTGCTTATGATGTACTCACCTTAACCAACTCCGACAATAATCATTTAAATTGTGCAGGATTTTATTGATCTTGAAGTGGTATATATTGTTTCATGGGGAGGTGTTTTAGGTGTCTGTCGAACTCTTTTTGAACATGATAATTGTGTTTGGGGGTTTCTAGAGTATGTATTAAAATTATTTGAGGTGTTTGGGTGTTAGGAGGTGTCGATTCTTATTGGACATGTTAGCAAGCCGAGTCAAGCTTCAGCCTTTTGTGATTCTTATATCATTTAGAGATTTGAGCAACGCGTGGATGGTTTGTTTGATCAATTTCTTGTCATTGAGAGGTCGAGGCAATTGTGGTCGAATTTGTTTTATCGCTTCACATTTTCAGGACGTGCGATGTAACAAATTGTCAGAAATTCTATGGTGTCCATTAGGGTACCATAAGCCATGCCACAATATGATGTGGCATATGAGGTGGCTTTATTACTTATACTTATCCATTCCAACATGGCATTAATTAGGTGGCTTTTTTAAAAAAATTTCATACCAAATTAATTAAGAAACCTTTATTCACTACAAAATTTATAAATTTTAGCGGCAGTTTATTTTTAATTTAGCGGCGGTTTCTAACCGCCACCAGTGCACTTACCAGCATTTATTAAACTGCCGCCTATACAAATGTCGCAAGTAATTTAGTAGCAGTTTCACAAAACTGCTGGAAAAAGTGAAGTTATATATTTATACCACAATAAATGCGTTTTTTGCAACATTAATTAGCGGCAGTTGATAACCGCATCTAATTACAAATGTAGCGGCAGTTTTTAACTGCCGCAATTTATATATATATATATATTTTTTTTCTTTTTTGTGGCGGTTCTCAAAACCGCCGCTAACATTTATCACTAACTAAATTACAATATCTGTAGCATTTTTAATTCCTGCCTATTCCATCATTCAATTTATTATAAACAAAATTATTATAACTCAATTGACGTCAAAATATCATGATTTACTTAACCAATAATATCATCCAACATGTAGAACAATTTACATGAAAAATCAACACAAATTTGTCCAATTTTAGAAGTCGATCACCATAGTTAATAAAATTCACCAACAAAAGTATATTAACCCAAAACAAAAGCCCCAGTTAGAGTATAGTTCAAAATGATACGAGTAAGAACCCTAAATTACATCACGACTAGAGGATGAATCTCTTCTTTCATTCTCTGAAGGAGGTGGATGAGTGCTTCTTTCATCAGAAGGTCCCTGCATTTGAAATAAAAATGTAATTAGTTATGTCTCATAACTTTAAACAAATATTACTACTCTAAATATTTTGACAATTGTATTACACTAAAAACATAAGTAATAAACATACACACTTTTGTAAAAATTACTCACAGTTTTTGATGTTTGGGTTAGCCAACTAGCAAATTGTTCGGGTACTTTCCCCATTGCATTTTCGAAAATTGTAGCAAGAGCCCCACCTAGATTCTTTTTCAGCTCTTCCATTTGTACATTTTGTGCTTGCAACTGAAGATTTTGAGCTCTCAATATTGATTTTGTAGCAGCCAACTCTTTTTCCATACTAGCAACATGTTCCCTCATTAGACCATCATTAGACCCTAATCGACATCCGAATGCAATAGTTGGACATGGTCCAAAACCTGCCCCACGAACACGACCTGCATGCTCCTTTCCAAAAACCCTACCAAGTGGGTCATCAGGTAAAGCAAACCGAGACTGGGAAGAATATGAACTTCGACTCATTTCCCGTATAATTTCATCCTATGAGGAGTGACAAAAAAAAAAAAATCATTATTTGTAATCTCTTTATTACCAGAAACCACAAAACTCACAGTATCCCTAAAAGCTTGGTGTAACATAAGTGTCTTTATATCCTAAAAGCTAATGTTTTCTTGAAAGTAGAAATCCAAACTAGATGAACAATGACATGCCGACACAGATAATAGAACTGAATGTAAATTATATTTGACCTAGTTGTCTTAAGGTGGTAATGATATTTACCTCTGTTTATGTTTTCCTTTATATAAAGCATATGAGAATGTGAAATGACCACAAAAGATGTCTGGTTTCATAAATTAGATAGAGTCAGAGTATGTAACAATAGTGTGATAGAAGAGTTTATAATTTCCATAAGCATATTTCAGAAATCAGTTGAACGCATTTTTCAGAGACAATTTGGCGAGTGTTAGAGCAAAAACTTTGACCCCATTTGCAAGATTAGGGAAATCAGTTGAAATCAGTTGAACGCATTTGAATATTATAATAATCACAATACAATAACACAGTAAAAAAGAATCAAAATCCCACACTACAAAAATACTATTAGGGAAAGACAAAAAAGGATTTATTAACTCACTGATTTATTTTTAGCTTCATCATTAACATATGTCCCGTCTTGTCTTTTGTGTGTATCGAGCCATAATTCTGAGCGATTGACCTTACGCCCGAGTTCATTTTCCTGAAATGGTAATTAATTTACGTGCTAATAAATTGCATTTACAAAACAACAGACATTAAATAACAAACTAAAAGAAAGTAATCACAATACCATTTCAGCTCTCCTTCTAGCAAAACTTTTAGATCCATTAGTATGTGGAATTTTTTGACACTTTCTACTTTCAGCATTTCTCCGACACATCTCCTAATAATACATAAAAAAAAAATTATTAGATGATGCCGCGTACATAAAAAGTAAATTTAAATGCATTACCTTTGACTTTTCAGATAAACGATTGATAACAAAAGTTGACCACTGATCTCGATGGATTCCAGCAGGACAATTGCTTATTAATTGTTCTCTGGTCAATGAAGGATAAACAAACAGAAGTTCTTAGTTCTTAGAGATTTAGACCGTATTTTTTCTCTTAAACTCATATGATAATGAAAAAGACGTTGTAATGAATCAACTTCAACCTTGTCAAAGAAGGGTCATAAAATTCTACCCATAATGCGGACTTGTGATTACTCCATTTTCTCCCGATATTGCAAAGAATCCACCGTTTTGCTATCTCGACATTTTCAAAGTGAAATTTTGACTTCAAGATAAGACGGCAAACATGATTACCCATGTTGAAAACTTAACATGTTGAAAACTTATTCCACATAAACACTTGATGTGGTACAACTTCAACAAGAATGACAGCTTCGTATACTTAACACACCCTTCATACAATTCTTGGGTTCCATCTCTAAGCAACTCATAAAATATCTTACTTTCTTCACCACCCTCGCCACCCGATTTCTCACTACCCTCACCACCAGATAGTACTCCATCCTCATTTACCATTTTATCTGATTCATTTATACCATGTGAAACATGTGCAAAAACATCATGAATAAGATTCATTACAGAATTCTCATCTTGCACATTCATATGGGCAGCAACAGGAGAAGAATTAGAAGTGGGAGAACTAGAAATGGGAGAAGTAGAAGTGGGTGCAGGCCCACCTTCGCCATGCCAAACCCAATGAGTATATCCA